AGGAACCTCTGTGGTGTGAAATAGAGTCTGAGCTGCTCAGTGGTTCTCATGCCAGGCCAGCTCTGCTCCCTGGAGACACGGGACGACGTCTGGGGATGTCTGCAGCCGTCTGGACGGGGGGGTGCTCCTGGCACGGAGGGTGGGGGTCAGGGATGCCCCATTAGACGCCGTTCTGTTTCCCCATGTGGCCGCGTCCGCAGCCCACCGTGGGAGACACGCTGCCCCTCCCCATGATTTGTTTGACCCTGTGTGCCCTGGAGCCTGGTGTGTAAGGGCAGACCTGTTCCTTCCAGGGATGACTGCCCCCCCGATCATGATGCCACATTCTCCCAACGTACCCCAGGGCAGGAGGCCTCCGCTGTCCTTCCTGTCACACATGCCCACGGGAGATTCTCACGCAGGAGCCCCTAGGCTCGGCATGGCTTCCCAGCAGGGGTGGGGCGTCCCCCGAGCTGTGCCCTGGGCACCTTGCAGGGGCAGGACCGGGAGTCAGGGCCAGGACAGACAGCCCAGCCCGCTCCCTCCTGTCCCCATGCTGGGCTCCCTCCTGTCCCCAGGCCCACTCCCTCCTGTCCCCCAGGGCCCGAGCAGGTCCGGCCAGGTTGGGCGCCATCATGTGCTGCTTGTGGACCAGCACCGAGTGAGGAATGTGCTGGGGCTGACTCAGCGCCGCCGCCTGTTGTGTCGGGGCTACGGCTGAGCTATGAGTCAGTGACTGGCTATGACCCCCGCCAGGACAAGGCTGAGTCTGCCGCGTACACGGCAGTGACACAACCAGCGTCTGGTCCCAGCATCTCAGCACACTCGGGCACACATATACAGGCGCGGTGCACATGCACACACATCTGTACACAGACATGTGTGTGCACGCTCACACGCACGTGCACGGACATGCTCACCACACTCGCACACATGCACATGTCTGTACACGGTCATGCGTGTGCACGCTCACACGTGCTCACCACACGTGCACGTGCGTACATGCTCACAGCACACATGCACACGTCTGTACACGGACACGCGTATGCACGCTCACGCGCACGCGCATGTACATGCTCACCGCGCACACACATGCACACACACACCTGTACACAGACACGCGTGTGCACGCTCACGTACACACATACACACCCACTGCACACACACATACGTGCACACACTCGTGGGCGTGCACATCCCCCAGCCGTCCTCGGGGGCCGTGCGAACCCATCCCAGAGGGAGCCTTTTGGGATGTGTGTGGAACAGGAAACCAGCCACACTAAGGGGTTCCGTGCTTCAGAGGGAGGCCAGGCTGGGGGTGGCCTCAGGGATGCGGGAGTCCTGGGATCCCAGTGGACGCTTCTGAGTGTGGATGCCCAGCAGGCGTCCTGGGCCTTCCAAGGAAAACACGCCACGGGGCCAGCCCGTTTCTTACCCGAACGCGTCTATATTTAGCGCTGAGTAATTTAGGTATTTGTAAGCCCAACCAAGGGCAGTTTTCCCTGAGCTGGATGTTTTGTGGCTGCTTTGAAGCTCTCTGCTGAATCAGAGCCTTCTGGAAACCCACACGTGGGCTCTGTGCTCTCAGAACAGACACACTCGGGCCTTTTCTGGCCCAGAAGGGGGCTGGATGTCTGCCGGACGGGCAGGGAGCCAGGCGGCATGGAGGGGTCTTTCTCCTGAGACTCCTGCGGAGGTCACTTTGAATTCACACGCGGTTGTAACAAATCAGAGACGGTCCACGTATCACCCGCTCAGTTTCTGCAACGGTAGCATCTTGTGGACCTACGGCCGGTATCACAACCAGAATGTCCACACGATACCGTCCACTGCCGTACTCTGTTGCTGCGGTCCCGCGTGTGTGCGTGTGTGCGGAACTGTGCAAGGTTGTCACTCGTGTGGGCTGTGAGCCTCCTGCCCCCCTCAAGGAGTCCACGTTTCCAGTGCCACGAGGAGCCCCCTCCTGCCCAGGCCCACCCCCCCTGCCCCCCAGAACCGTGAATCTCTCCTCCGTCCCAACAATTCTGTCATCTCAGATCTGTTCTGTAAATGGAAACCCATGTCACGTGACCTTTGGGGATTGGCTTTTTTCACTCAGTCTAACTGCCTGGAGACCCACCCAAGGTACAGTGTGTATCAGTGGCCCTTTTTTTAATTATTATTATTGCTAAATAGAAAATGTTTTGAAAATCTGAAATCTGGGTCGCCTGGCCGGCTCAGTCGAAAAGCGTGTGACTCTTGATCTCGGGGCCATGAGTTCAAGCCCCACAGTGGGTGTAGAGACGACTTAAATAAATAATTAAACTGGAAGGAAAGAGGGAGGAAGGGAGGAAGGGATGGAGGGAGGGAGGAAGGGTGGGAAGAAGGAGAAACAGAGGGAGGGAGGGAGGAAGGAAGGAAGGAAAGAAAAGGACGGACAGAGGGAGGGACAGAGGGACAGAGGCTGATAGCTGCCTTTACTTGTGCGTGGCCCTCTGGCTCTGGTGACCCCGAGCAGACCATGCCCGCTGCGTCGTGACAGACACAGGCTGCTGCTCGTTACTGGCTAAGTGTCTCCCTAGACTCCTGACCTTGGGCCCTGTGTCTGCACAGACACCCATGCCGCTCTCCCGGAGCCTCCTCAGCCTGGACACTGAAAACACTGAGCGCGTCGTCCCCGGGCAGTAGGGGGGTCCCGGGCATGGTGGGGGCTGAGCAGGATCCTGCCCCGCCCTGGTACCAGGAGCTCCTCTGGTTGTGGGATCCCCAGAGATCCTGACGCGCTCGGCCCGGTGTCCTTGGAGGGCGTGATCAGCCGTTCGAACCGCTCTGCCAGAGCCCCCAGATGAAGACTTCGGGGAAAGTTGCATCTTTGCCGCCCAAGTGACGGGGAAAGTGTGCACAGCTGAATTATGAAACTAAGCTAACACCGCTCGTCCGGTGCTGGTGTGAACGCAGGTGGCCCGGCCACTCTGGAAGACAGCTTGGCGTCTTCTCTGAAAATTGAACCCGCAGTCCCATCCCTCAGCGTTTATCTCAGAGACAAACCCTTGGGTTTGCACAAAAGTCTGCAATGTGGGGCAGCTGCGTTGTGAGGGCCCAAAACAGGAATTGGGCCAGATTGACCTTCTGCCGGTGAACCGCAGGGCTGCCACCTCTCTGGGCCGGGGACCTTGACCTTCCGCAGGTGAGCTGCGGCCGCCCCGGGGTGGGGGGACCGCCACTCTGCAGGGAGCTAGCCACGTGCATGGCAGTCTGGGTGCCTTTCCTGGGTGCCTCATGGTGATCGACCCCATCGGGGAAAGCCAGTCTGGGAAGGTTATGGTCGTACGGTTCCACTTACTCACCATTCCTGAAATGATGGAAGTTTGGAGAAGGAAACCCCATCGGTGGTCGCCGGGACCGGGCGGGGGCGGGGGCCAGAGGGATGCCCGTGTCCTCTGTGCCTGCGTCCCTGTGCCTTGTGGTTTTCTAAGACGTCGTCGTGGGAGAACCGGGCACAGGGATCTGTCATTCCCTGCCACTGTGTGTGAGTCAACAGGCACCTGCAGATTTTAAAGTCATGAAAAATAGATCCATAAAAATACTTGGGAAGGAAAATCGGTCACCCTCAAACACTAGCAAAGCCGGAATCATTGGTGCAGCAAAAGGTTGGTCTTCTCGCTGGGCGAGCAGGTGGGGAGGCCCCCGACCGGCCCTGAACCCCGAGACGTGACAGCCACTTCCTGAAGGTGTGGGGGTGCGAGCACCGCTGGGTGCCATCTGGTCGTCAAAGCCGCAGGCACCCCCATCGCTGAGCAGCGGCCCTCAGAGAATTCACGGAAGGGCTGCTCGGTGTCGAGAAGAGGGTTTCTCCGCAGTCACTTACCCGCTGCGAGTGGGGGCTATGAGCCACCCTCAAGGAAGGCGTCGCGGGGTGAATAGCATCCCCCCAAACTCACATCCACCAGAACCTCAGAATGGGTCTTTACAGATGCTAGTAGTTAGGAAGAGGAGGTCATGGCTGAGGGTGTCCCGGTGAGAAGGTCACGTGAGGCAGAGGTCGAGTGACGTGGCCGCACCAGCCACTGGAGGAAGAGCCTCCTCAGACCCTCACCGGGGGGACCCAGCCCTGCCCCCCCGCCTGGACCTCGGCCCTCTGAGCTCCAGAACGTGGGAGAGCGGATTCCTGCTGTGCTCAGCTCCCTAGTCTGCGGCGTTTGTCCAGGCCTCTCCGGGACATCAGAAAGCTCGGGGAAACCCCGCAAAACCAAGTGGGCTCCCTTGTCAACAGGTGACATGAATCGCCCCTCCCACCCCCAGAAGCCTCTCCCGTGTGGGAAGCAGGAGCCCACGCTCCTTCCCCGGCGGCCTCCTGTGGGGTCCTAGTCACAGCCGGGCCTGGCGAGGGAAGTCGGAGGCAGGGACCCTCGCAGACAGGAGCCAGGAGCCTCCCGCTGCGCTCAGCCGCGCTGAGCAGGGTTCTCACAGGGCGGGCCATCCTCCGGGCAAACGAGCCTCGGGATGAAGGAAGGGGAGCCAGACCCAGGACCCACAGCACACTGGGCCTCCTGGGTGACCCGCCATGGTCCAGAGCCGGGGTCTCTCCCAGATGACTCTGAGTCCCCCGGGGAACTTGGGCCATGTCCAGACACATCTGTGGCTGTTCAACTGGGACATCATAGCATCGAAGGGTGGGGGCTGAAGATGTGCCTGGGACGCCCCCAGACCGCAACCCTGCCCAGGGTCAGTGGTGCTGGGGGGCACGGAGCAGGGCAGGGATCAGAGAACGTGCCCCATGAGTCCCTCATTCTGTCATCCCCATGTCAATGCTGTGGTTTGGTGAATGGCCTTGACAGGCTTGGTGGTCACATCTGGGGAGCACTTAACCCCACTAGCACAGGGGGACCATGGAGACGCCTTGGCTGGGCCTCCCACCGCCCCCACTCCGGGGACATGGCACGGGGGCTCAGGTGGAGGCTTCTGGGTGGGGAGGCGTCCTCTGGCCATGGGGCTGGGGCTTCAGGAGCCGGCTCACACCCGTCTGCTCCCCTCCCCCGCAGCTCTCTGGACAGCAGGGCCGGCGCCGATGGCAAACAATGTCAGCGACTAACAACGTAGCCCAGGCCCGGAAGCTGGTGGAGCAGCTGCGCATCGAAGCCGGCATCGAGCGCATCAAGGTGAGCTGGGCGGGCGGGTGGAGGGGGAGGAGACCCCTTGCGCGGGCCCTGCCCCCAGAGCGGGGACTGCATTCCCGCTGTGCCCCGAGCTGGGCGGCCTCAGGCCACACCCTAAGCTCTCTGAGCCTCCGTTTCCTCAGTGGAAAGACCCCGCTGATACAAAGCCTGTGCGGGGGCCCCGAGGCAGGGCCGAGCCCACCCCCAGCCCTGGGGTCCTTCCCTTGAGAGCTGTGGCCCAGAGAAGGGAGGACCCTGGGCTCCATTCCGGCTTCTTTCTTCACTAATGCGTTGTTTGGATTTTTTGAAATAAGTGTGTTTGCTTTTTATGCTAAAAAAAGAAAAAGGACAAGCAGTTCCTGCTCACAGACACTTAACCCTTCAGGGACCAGAGACCCAAACCACAGCTCATTCTAGCTGGGCCCCAGCTCTACAGACTCAGTCTTTCCAAAAAGGGCCAGAGGCCCAGGTGTGGCCTCTCCCGTGAGAAAGACGCTGCCTTTTCATCACACCCGAGTGCACAGGCCGGGAGGACATGTGTTGAGAGAGCCAGGGGTATTTTAAGGAACTGGCTCACAGACCAGGGGGGCCAGCAAGTCCAAAATCTGCAGGGCAGACTGGAGATCCAGGCCAGGGTTGACGCAGCCCCTTGAGTCCCCAAGGCCACCTGGAGGCAGATTTTGTCACCTCTGGAGGCCTTCAACTGATGGCACGTGGCCCACCCACATTGAGGGGCTCGTCTCCGTACTCTATGTCAACCCGTTTACATGTTAATCTCCTATAAGAATGACCTTCCCAGTGACATCTCCACTCAGGTCCTGTGACCTGGCCAAGTGGACGCATAAAACCGGACATCAGCGGCGCGGGGCTGTTCAGACCGATTCTCTGCGCACCTGCCACTCCACGGAGCGAACTTTGTGCTGCCGTGGAAGTTCGGCAGCAGAGGCAGCCCCGCCCCCAGACAGACCGACACCTGCCTGTCAGCCCTGGGGCAGGGAGCGGGCTCCTGCAGCCCCCGGGTGGGGGAGGCAGCTCCCGGGAGAGTCTGAACGTTCCAGAGCCCTGAGCATTCAAAGCATTCCTTCGGGCTGCAGAAAGAGAAAGGCTTGAAAGCCTCAGTTGCCGCGGTTTGCTGGCGGAGGGCGCGCTTCATTCCGGCCCGTTTGATGTGCTGGAGGAGTCCTGCCACCCTTGAACGCCAGGAGGAGGGGAGCAGGACAGGACCCACCCTCCCAATGCAGTCCCGCCTGAGGCTTTCCATCCCCAAACCGGCGACCAGAACCGCAAACATGGGCACATCTGAAAAGCCGGTGGGGCCAGGGCCTGGCAAGTGGCAGTGAGGCGGGCATGGGGGGCCCGGCCCTCTGGGCAGAGCTTTCCTGTTGACGCGGGGCGTGAGCGGGGGCCACACGCCCGAGCCACCGCATCGGTTATTTCCAGGGTCCGGAGGCTATCTTTGTCATTTGGGGGGTTGCTTTCCGAATACAGCTCTGGAAACCAAGCTCATCCACGGCGGCGGCCCTGGGAGCGCCAACGGGCTCAGGACAGTGGCAATTGTCAGTGTCTGTGGGTAGGAGTGTCCCTGGGATGAACCTAGAGACCAGCCTGCAGACTGGGCAGCCCTGGGGACGAGGTCGGGCAGCCCTGGCTTTCAGGGGTGCAGGGCCCCAGACCACAGAGCCCAAGGAGAGTTCTCACTCCTGCCTGTTCTACCCCTGTGCCTGTCACACCCGCTCCTGGCACGTGGGGAAGCAGGCTCCCCTGACAGTTCCCACCACGGGGAGGAGACCCAGGGGCCCAGGATCCCTGAACCCCAGTGCCCAGCCCCCAGCACTGGGGAGAGTGGAGTGGGACGGTGCCCACCACAGCCCCAGATGCACACCCTAGAAGGTGGGGTGCAGGGCTGGGCTATGCCCTCTGCTGTGATGAAGCACCCCTTTCCCCCATCAGCTTTCCCAGGGGCTGAGTGGCTCTCCCTGCACCTGCCCCCTCCTCTTCTGGGGACCCTGAGGCAAGTGCCCCAGGTGTCAGCTCCCTTGCCTAGGTCACTGGACCCAGCCAGCTCAGGGGCCCAGCAAAGTAAGGCCCAGGAATTGGTGTTGGGGTCCTTCTAATGCTGGGATGGGTCCTCCTGTGCCCTCCTATCTTGGGTGGGAATGGAGTCTTGGTCTGAATCCTAAAGAGGGCTCCGTCTCTCCCTTGCCAGCGGTGATAACACACTCGTTTGTGCAACCACCACCTGCCTCACCCTGTTCCAGAACATTCCATCTCCCCAAAAGGAACCCGTCCTCATCAACAGTCCCCTCCCCAGCCCCCACAAGCCCCCTTCCCCTCCCCTCCGGAGAGGAGCCTGGTCTGGACATGTCAGACGCATGGACTCATACCCCGTGTGGCCTCCTGTGTCTGGTTCCCTCCCTGTGCGTCGTGGGGTCCGTCCTCGGGGCAACGCCTGGGGGCCTCGCTCCTGCTGGGGCCAGGGATGCTCCCATGTGCGGGTGGACAGGTCGGGTGTATCTGTCCCAGTGGGTGGACACTGGGCTGTTCCTGCCTTGGCTGTGGTGGACGTGTGCGGGGCAGCCCATCTGACCTGTCCTCTCTGGTCCTTGTGCCCACGTGCAGGTGTCCAAAGCCTCGTCGGAACTCATGAGCTACTGCGAGCAGCACGCCCGGAGCGACCCCCTGCTGGTGGGAGTCCCCGCCTCTGAGAACCCCTTTAAGGACAAGAAGCCTTGTATTATCCTGTAGCCCCGTTCCGGTGTCCCTCCCTCCGGCTCCCTCGGCTCGGGCGTCGCTCCCTGCGCCGGCAAGCGAGCCATCTCCAGTCCCAAAACGCTCATCCCCAAGAGAGGCGAGCAGCCGCCATCATGGACGCGGCAAAATGCGTCCTCCGGGTCTAGCTGGAGCTTCGAGCCCAGCAGCGCTGTCCTGTCCGGGCCCCGCAGGGAGACGCGGGGGGGCCCCGGCCCGTGGGGAGCCACAGAAATGCCCGAGTGACGCGTTGACGGCGTCGGGAGGCTCTGGGCCGCCATCAGGGTAGCAGCCGGGCCCGGCGGGGGAAGGAGACGGGGGACCTGACGGTGGCCCCGGGCATCCGGCGCGTGGCCACCCTCGCACCATTGTCCGTTTGTGGAAACACGGGCGCCGGGCGAGGCTGCTGCGTTTACGCTGCTTCTCCCCGAGCCGCCCGAGGTCGGGGGTGCGCGGAGGGCCCAGCGCACGGCTCGGGAACCGCGTCTCCTCTCCGCTAAGCCCAGAGCCCGCAGCTGTGCGTCGCGGGGAACGCGCCCCCAGATGGTAGGGGCCGGGAGGGGGGCTCTGTCTGTGCAGCGCGCCCCGCGTGGCCTCATGTCCCCCTGCGCCACGGCACCGGCGTGGCATCGGTGTGGCACGTGGCCCCCGACAGCCCCGCCGCGGCCCCCAGCCCTTCGCAGGGACCCCAGCCCTCAGGGAGGCGGGTCTGCGGGCCCCTGCCCGGCTCCCGGGAGCGGCCGCCTGCATTGCGGCCCGTTTTGAGCGCCCGTGGCGAGGCGGGCAGCGCGAACCGTCCGTGCTCGGCCCTTCCGGGCGGCTGTGTTGTGTTCTGTTGTGTTTTCCGCTTTTGCGTGTCGCCGTGGCCACTTTGCAGACGGGAGGGTGGCCTGGGGAGGCCCTGCCTCGCAGGTCAGAAGGCGTCTGGTCCCGGAAGCAGCTGCGGGGCCCCGGGGGTGAGATGCCTAACCCGCTCGCCTGCCCTCCCGCGGCTTTTCTTCAGTCATTTGGCCCCTGTGACGACCTGGACGGTTCCAGGAGCAGGAGGCGGAGGGAGGGCCCCGAGCACACCCGTCCCACGCCTGCCCCGCCCTTGCACCCCTGCGTACCCCACCCCAGGAGGGTCCTCCCCCTTACAGGCCGGGGCCAGGGCCTCGTGCCAGCCTCAAGGCTCCTGCTCCCCACCCCCAGCCCTGCAAGTGCCAAGGCCCAGACCCCAGCAGCACTAAGGTTTGGGGATGGGGGGGAACGCGTCCCCATGCGGGCTGGCTTCCCAGGGCGCAGGCTGTAGGGTCCAGCCTTGCTCCCCGGCTCCCAGCTCTCTCCGGCCGGTCCGGGAGCACCAGGGGTTTGGGGGAGCCCAGCGTCTCCAAACCTGCCGTTGGACGGGGGACCCTCGAGGGCCCGATGCCCTGGCCACCTTTCACAGGGCGGGAGCCAGCCTCTCACCCTCCCCAGCTGAGCAACGACAGAGCAGAAGCTGTCCGCGGAGGGAGGCCAGGGCCCGGGGGGTCCGCCCCGAGACACCAAACTGGGGAGGCGGTTGGCAGAGCAAAGCCTGTCTGGGCCCCTTCTGTGAAAGCCTTAATCCCTGGAGCCCGTCCTTCCCCTGCGTCCCCAGCACCCCGGGCTGGTCCTCGGGCCACGGGTCCCCAGCGAGGACGGGAGGCCCTGGTCTCAGTCCACCCCCTCCCTACCGGCCTTGTCCCGCTCAGCCCCACCGCGTGTCCCCAGCTCGCGGCCCAGGTGCGGTTGAACGGAGTCAGGGAGCCCCACAGCCGGCGGCACCCCCAGCCCTGGAGTGAACCCCAACTCAAGTCAGAGCCCCTGGGGCTGGGGTGGGGGTAAACTAGCCCCAGAGAGGGTGAGGACGGGCGCGCCCCCAGCCCCCGCCCTCACACCTGCCCAGCTGCCTCCCCCAGGGGCCGCCCGGGACCTCGACCCCGGGAGGTGGCCGTCCCCACCGTGGGTGTCCTTCTAGCTCCTGTTTTCCTTCTAGAGTAAGTCTCAGTGTCCCTAGTGTAGACCCCGAGCGCCCGAGCCTTCCCTGGGCACGTCCTGCATGAACACATCGCGTGCCCAGCGTCAGCGGGAGCCGGCGCAGCTGGCACCACAGGCCTGGGGGAGACCCGCGTCTCCAGCCACGTCATGGGGGGGACGTTAAGGGCACCATCCCCAACACACCGAGTCTGGAGGTCCCCAGGGGGCTGGCACGTGGGGCGCTTCCCCTCCCCTCCCCCACGCCAGGAAGGAGCTTGAATGTGCACCCCTCCCCACAGGTGACCCCCAGGCCAAGATTTAAGTGACTGGGGGCGTGACCCCTGGCCTGGGGGATGTGAACCGCGGGCGGCGGAGGGTGCCGTCCTGCCTGCGACTCCGGCGTCCGTGTCCGAGTGCTGGGCCTCCGGGCAGCTCCCCCGGCTCTGCACGGCCCCGCCGAGCGCGGGGGCCGGGAAAGGCCGTCAGCCTGCCCCAAGGGCGAGGGACCAGGGGCAGTTTCCCGGCCAAGGTGAGGCCACCAAAGGTCGCGCTGGTCCTCCAAGAACACCTACTAAAAGCCAGCCTGCCACGGAGTCCCCGGAGAAGCAGCCATATGTCGGGCCCTCTCCCGCTTCCTTCTCGGTCCATGGAAACCATTGCCAAACGTTGCAAAGACCGGTTCCGGCTTGCAGAAGCCGTCCGTGGCTCTAGCAGGTTCTACCCCATCTCCTTTGGGATGTTCAGTGGCTTTTATTTCTGATTTTTTCTTTTTTAAAGGGAAAAAAAATTCCAGGTGCGCCACACCCACTTTCTTGCAGTGTTTTAATATTGTGTGGAATCGTTAATACAGAGTGACTAATCCCCAGCACAAAGGCTCCCTGGTCCTCTCTCCGTGCCACCGCCTGTGGGGGCTGGGGTCGGGCTGGAGGGCGGGCCGGGCACAGGGGTGACGGGCTGCCCCCCACGCGTGCACCCCTTGCTGCTAGGAGGGGGCTGCCTGGATGGAACATGGCTTCGGGCAGCCCCACGAGGTGGCCCTCAGTCTCCACGGGCCTTCCAGTTTGCAGTGAGAAAACCTCGAAGAGGGGCTCCTGGGGGCTCCGTCAGTGAAGCCTCTGCCTCCGGCTCAGGTCATGCTCTCGGGGTCCTGGGATCAAGGCCCGCATCGGGCTCTCTGCTCTGCGGGGAGCCTGCTTCCCCCTCTCTCTGCCCCTGCTTCCTGCTTGTTCTCTCTCTCTTCTTCTCTCAAATGAATTTAAAACGAAAACTTCAAGCTGCCCTGCATGAGGTTCAGCACGCCTTGAGCCCTGTGCCCCCGGCTCGGGGTGGCCTCCGTCCAGCATGGGCCCCCTCGTCGGGAAAGTGCCTCGCTCTCCTAAGAGCTCGGAGCGCCCCAGGCCCGGTGCCCCTGCCATCCAGTCACCCAGCGGCCACGCTTGGCCCCCAGAGGCCCCAGGGGAGAAGGCGAGTGAGTGGTGGTCCCGACTCACACCGGACTGTGGAGAGAGTTCAAGTTTAGTAACAAATCTGTCCACAAAAGATGCTGACCTCCCAGCAGAGAACTTTGTGTAAAACATTTACAGATCCAGCTTCATAAAAATTATCTCTTTGCGTCCGAGAGCATAAGATCGGGAATGAGTTCAAAAACCCAAAAAACACAGAATTGCCCCCTGATGCACCATCCCCACGTGTGGCGCCCACAGCAGCCACTCACAGCGCGGGGAAGGGGCCACTAGCCGGTGAAGGGCACACACAGCGCGGCCCGTGCCCACATGGGAACACGATCCAGCCGCAGCGAGAGCGGCCAGACCCAGAAGGACCCGTCCCACAGGTCCCCACTCCCAGGAGGGCCCAGAGGAGTCCCGTCCACACGGACAGAGGAGGGGGTGGGAGCCGGGGCTGGGGTTGGGGGTGGGGAGTCCGCGCTTCATGGGGACCGAGTCTCTGTGTGGGGGGATGGGCAGTTCTGGAGATGGGGTGGGGTGGCTGCAGGACGGGGCCACTGTGCTGGGCAGCCTGTCCTCAGAGTGGCTGCTGGCGGTGACAGGCGAGGGCCAGCCCGGGACGAGGCCTGGCGGCTCTGCTCCAGGCCCGCACCTGAGAAGGATCCGGCACGCGTCCACAGAAGGCCTCGGGGGTGTTCAGCGCTGCCTCTGTCATAACACCCCAAACCCGAAGCCTCCCGGGCGTCCCACGGTGGCTGCAGAACACGCGGGAGCCGTTCGTGCCCAGAATCCACTCAACAGGTTAAGGACCTGCTGCCCCTGCAGCCTGCCTGGGAGCCCCGGGCACGTGAGGGCATCCTGGGAGGCCCGGGCGCCTGGTGCCAGCCGCCGGCTCAGGAGTGGGACCCGAGGACACGCACACTCTCCCTCCCCAGAGCCTGTGGCTGCGTCAGCCCCCGGGGGGTCAGGAGTCCCGCAGGGACACGGAGTCAAATACCTGCAGTTGGGGGGGCCTGGGCTCGCGGGGCGCGGCGGCCTCACAGGCCCCCCCAGCGGCGTCCCCGAAGCCATGAGGAGCAGGAGTCACGCGGCAGAGGCCAGGGTGAGAAGGCCACACGCGGGGACCCCAGCCCTGGGAGCTTCTGGAAGAGGCACCACCACGAGACCACGAACGGATCGGGGGGGCCGGGGAAGGGCGGAAGCATGAGGGGGTGAACACAGGTGACCTTAGGGCAGGGACACGACCCCATAGGACACAGACACGGTGCACACACAGCAGGATCCGTTTGCTGAAACCCACACACCACGTTCGCCCCCAGAGCAAACCTGGACTCAGAGCAGGGGCTGCGCCCGATGCAGGGCTGGCGTCACCGGCGGGCAGCGGCACCCCCAAGTCAGAGGCCCAGCAGGCACTTCGCTTCCGAAAAGGTGGAAGGAGGGCGGGAGGCCACACTGAGCCCCCAGCGGGAGCGGAGGCCCCCGCCATGGGCGTCTGGTCTTCACTGAGCGCCCCCCCCCCCCGCCGTGAGCCTATTTCCCACCATCAGGCTCGCAAACACCCCTAGGTGTCGGCGGGGTGGG